ACTCCATAGGTTTGACTTCTACCTTTCTTTATAGGTGCCCAGCCGGTCAGTTTCACTTACAATCATTTACGTGAATTAGAGAATGAAAAGTAATGATTTATATTTTTGAACAAGCATTTATCTTTGTTCTATCACTGCTCATATGACTTTGATATATAAATTCAGTTATTTTGTCTGTGAAAAATCAGATGGAATACGTGTTTTACTTTATTTAACCGTTGATAGTCGCACTGGCCAGCCATGTGTTTATCTGGTTTGTGTCCATGGTTAATTATATGAATTCATTGTCTAAACATGAGCGCATAAAAATTTATCAATTATTAAATAATATAGATTGACCGCAAGAATAACTACCACCAACTTTTTGATTTATTATTTCCAGTTCCTGGAGATGACAAACAATTCCATGATGGCACCCTAGTTGATAGTGAACTAATTGTTGATGTTGAAGAAGATGGAATGGTAGGTTTTTTTAAATTTTATTATTTAAATTTATTTGTATCATTTATTTTCCTATTTTTTATTGTAGCAAACCCAAAAGTTACTTGCTTTTGATTTATTGGTGGTAATGAAAAAGAATTTAATGCCTAAACCACTCACTAGTAGATTGGGCGTAAGTTTTCTTTTACTAGTTTAATTGTGTAGATTAAATAAATATGTTAACATTATCTGGTATAATATAATAAATAGTACCTTCGTGAATATGTTATAGAACCATACAAAGCCTTGTCAAATCGTCGTCCGGGACTTAATGGTTCATCATCTTGCTTGTAAGTTGTCCATTTTTTTATAATGTTTGTGATTAATTTGGCTTTCTAGGTATATACAGTGGGAACATAAAACTAATATGTTATAAAGAAAGGTAGAAGTCAAACCTATGGAGTTATCATACGGTTTAGACAAGGTTTGGAATGAAACCATACCAAAACTGAAGCATAAGAGTGACGGTTTAATTTTTACATCATCAGTATCACCTTACATACCGGGAACTTGTGAAAAAATGTATGTATATTGTTGATTTTATTTAGTTAAATCAGCACATTTATCATAATATATTATAAATAAAAAAAATAAAGGTTAAAATGGAAACCACCAAATGAAAATTCTATTGATCTTCAATTACGTTTCGAAGATAGCCGGAGGTCAGGATTCAATTATCAAAATAGGCCAAAAAGATTCCTTCTGTATAAATGGATGCAAAAAGACGAATATTCATATTTTGATGATTTGTATGTCACTGATGAAGAATGGGATGAGTAAGTATATCAAAAATATGATTGAAAATACTTGAATGCATTACGATCTCACAGCATTGAGGGACTTACTCAGATGGCAACGCAATGAAGAACCACTTGAAAATCGTATAGTCGAAGTGACTTGTGAAACGCTAAAAGACAATACCACACGGTGGAGGTTTTTAAGGTTTCGTGATGATAAACCACATGGAAATCATTATACAGTGGTAGAAAAAATACAAGAAAGTATTATGGATGGAATCAGTATGGAACAGGTATTTCGTTGTTTACTACGTTCATAAATTGTCTGAGTTTAATGCAATTGCTAATAGATTTTTACTAAATTTTAATAGTTAATTGAACATATACCAAAAATACGCAGTGCCTGGAAACAAAGAGAAAAGGTATCTCGATATTAACGCTTGAATCTAAATATCTAATTTGATATCAGGATATTGTCCTATTTTATATTTCTTTAATTCGGATATAAATAGATGTATATTCAGTTATTCTATTCTAATTCGGATTATATATCGTTCATGTTACAGTCCATAGTTTAGTGAAAATTTGGTTCAATAAACGAAATATACGTAATCGAACATTATATTATATAAATTGGTAATTAATGTAGATCAATTAAAGAGAAGTCCTAATCTATCTATTTTGAATCATTATCATTTCTTATATCGTATTTAAATTTGCACCGATTCGTGCTTTACTTTCTAAGGATTGGGTCCTTAAATTTGTTTCATAGTTTCAGGACAAATTATGGTGATTATGGGCCAGAAGCTGGCTAAATTAATTAGTTAACACGTTTAAACGGTTAAATTTTAAACAGGTTTAATTTCTATTATTTTCCAATTACATAGAGCAATAAAATTCTAAAAACATTTAGTATTTTTTTTTTTTTTTAATCTTCAAAGGTGAGGTAATATTTTTTAAGATGAGGTTTTGTCTTTATCTTTAACTAGCTTATTACCCGTGACTTCGCTACATAATTAATAAAATTCTAATTTAAATAATAAATAATATTAGGCTTGCAATCTATTTTAATACAACTAAAAATTAAGTATGTTCTAAACTATTTACAATGGGCTTATTTAATAGATCAATTTTTTTTAAAAGTGCATTTATATATAACTAAATTAAACTATATATAGTAGAATACATAAAGTATAATAATATAAAATTCGGATTTGTTAAAAGGAGCTAATAAATAAATCTCTAATATAATTATGAACATAAATATTAAAAACAGTTATTTCTTTACTCAATTGAAATAAGAACTACAATTATCTATATGATTAGAAGTAAAATAAAAAAGTTTGAAATCTAATATATAAAGTAGTACATTCAGGCTAATGAGTTTTTAATATAGAGCGAATCTATTTGTCGCCGTCGGTGACAGTACTGGAGTGTGATTGACCAATTAGATCACTGGATCATGTGTAATGTGAAAAATGTAAAAACTTTGATTTTTTTAAAAAATCGGCGTTATCTCGAAATTTCATCTATGAAACCATATTTTGCATTCTAACAAAAAGAATTTCTTGCAAAATTTTACTATATGCTATGCTCTACTTAAACCTTAATTATGGCTTTAACCCCAATTCTAATAAAGTAAGTTTTGACACATTGTTTTTGTTTTAATTATAATGTATTGGTTGGTTACACTTCGGTACTGTCACCACCAGCAACAAACACAATTTTTTTTTTTTTATAATTCAGCTGTCCTGCCACTTTTTATTAAGATTAAACTATACTAAGAAATTTATATTCCCTAATAGTAGCTATAATTAATCTACTTATAAAGTGACATACCCATGCTTTTGCCAGGTATAACTTGCCTCAATGGACTTCAAGCCTCTCTCTGGGCCTCTAACTTACTAGAGGTTATCCTTTGGTCATAGGCTGGTGCTACACACCATATCAAAGTTAGCTTTCCTTTTTCCAAC